GGGAAGCCTCCCACCCCACCGGAGAGTTTAGATGGAACAGGGGACCTGGAGGGGTTAGTACTACTCTTGCTTTCTTCTTTTGCTAGACTTTTTCTTTTCTACTGAAGGTTCTTGACTGCTGCTTGATCAAGCACTACTATCTGAGACAGTAAGATATGATTCTGCTGCCTCTTTAAAAAAAAATCAAGCACCTTCGAAAGTGTAAGATCATGTAGGATTCTCCAAACCTGTTCAAAAACAGACATTTATTTAGGCTTCCATTCATTTCTCTAAGATGGGATCACCCACTAATAGAAATCTGTGGTTGTGTGGCAGGAGGTGACACTAATGACTAGTCATAATGACCGGTCAGGACCAGGGGCCAGTCATTAAAATCTTAGTGGTGTGCAGGAGAAGGCACTGTTGTCATAGAAAGGAAGTGCAAATACGGAAAAGAGAAGCGTTCACAGACTTTTATATGATCCATCCTTCGCTGCACTTAGGCAGAGACTGATGCCTTGCTTATAGCATTGTTAAAGTCCCATCACCCCTCACAGAAGGACTAACAGGTGTGTAGCATAGTGTGTGTGTGTGTGGGGGGGGTTCCTCCCTGGGAAAACATTCATGAAAAAGGGTTTTAATAGGATGCCAAACTTTGCACACATGAAGTAATTCTGTTTCAGAAATAACTTGCAAACCCACAGATTTCAACATGCAGTCAAAGCTCTCCGACTCATTAAAGCACCTTAGGTTTCAGAAGAAAAAGAAATCATTTTCTTTTCTTAACAAACCTGCTTAAGGTTCACCTGCTCAAGAAAACAGCAGTATTCATAGTTTTGAATATCTTGAATAACCTGAATGTCTCATTTTGCCTTATTTCCAGGGAAGGCTCTTCCCCTGCCTGCTTGTAGCTTGAAGTAGCAGTATCACGTGTGGCGTGGCAGTATCCTCTTGTGCTCTTTTTTCTCTTCTACTTTTCAGAAGTGCTGTTGTGAATGATAAATTTTGTGTTCAGGTAGCACTTTGCCCCAGCCCAAGGCTAGTACTGTCCCTAAGTACAGCTCATAACGGTTGCATGCTAATAGCTTGTAGATCAATAACCATTCCTGCAGAGGAGCTGTAAATAAAAGAACTTGAGAGTGAAGAAAATAAAATTGAAAAGAAAGAAGGAAATAGTCAATAAATCAAACAGCTCCTCTTGCCAGTGCCCTTCAATCTGGTGCTTACACCCTGTTCCATCTGTGCAGCCCTCAAGCTCCAACTTTTGGAGTTCTGCTCCACTCTGGTTGACTTGTATGGTCTGAGTCACCATGCTCTATAAAGTCAACCTCTTATTCTGAGAGAAATGGTACAGCCTATCAAACAGACCATCATTTGAATACCATGTTTTCATAATTGATTGGGTGCCTGGAATCTTCGGAATGTTCTGTCTGAAATGTGTGTAGACCTATATAGAACGCACCTGTATAGCAAACACAAGTACACAGAAAGTTCTCAGGTCACTAGGAAGGGGGTGGTGTGTGTGTGTGTGTGAGAGAGAGAGAGAGAGAGAGAGAGAGAGAGAGAGAGAGAGAGAGAGAGAGAGAGAGACTCTGGAAAAGTTTCTATGTGGAGTATACTGTCAGGCAATTTAAAAGGTTGTAATCAAGCACTAAATTAAGAGGGTCTTAGGCCAAATTTCTTATTGAAGCAAGTACCTGATTAATTACACAAAAACAATTACGAGGCTTCTGGGGCACAGAATGAATCCTGTGTGTTGTTATATTCAGTAAAGAACAGGATGGAACACAACTATATTTTGTGTTAAACAGTTGGTATCAGTTATTAGTAAAATTGTATTGTTGTTTATATTTATATTGGTTTTGTCCAATTATTGAGTGTCTTTAATGCATTAGATGGTGCACCTCCAGATTAAACAATGGATCAAGAAGTTCCAGTTTCTGTCTTCAAAGAGTTTGCTCTCCTAGGTTGGACAACTGGAACAATTACAGTGTGTCCTGTGTTGTAGGCAGTGGTAGACATGATCAGGAACCTTTTGGCTAACCCAGATAAGGAAAGGCTCTGGTTCACTACAGAGAGGATGGACAGGCACAGGGAAGCCTGAGGTGTTCTAGATTCAGTAGCCATTCAGTATGATAGAGTAGCAGGAGTCTATTGGGATGTTAGGGGAGCTCAGGCCAGCACTTCTGCAGTGATGCCATCAAGACTTGAATGTCATACTAAGGAGCAGATCCTTATTTTAGTGGGAAAACAAAGTAAAGTGTGCTTTGAACAGATCACTAAACAAACAAACAAAAATCCAGCCAGGGACATAGAAGAGAAGGAATCTGTGCAGAGAACTTGTTATGTAAGTGTGGGGAGATGAAAATCGAAAGTTAGGTCTATCCGAGGATTGCAAAAGCAGTGCCTCCTTACTACCTCAAATTGAAGGAACATAGAGGAGTGGCATTGTGACCTAGACCTTAGAAAGAGGCCCACCCACAGGAAACAACCACACTGGCTCTACAGGATACAGATTAGGACCTTAGAAGAGCTGCTGAGGTGCTGTCCAGAGCACAGAGGGAGGAAGGAGCAAGCAAGTGTTGGTGTCTTCCTTCTTCCTGATTTTTATTCATGCAGTTTTCTTTCAAAAATCTACTTATGTGAGTTTGATGTGTGTGTGTGTGTGTGTGTGTGTGTGTGTGTGTGTGTGTGTAGTGTATGTGTGTCTGATGTGTGTAACTATGTATTATGTGTGTATGGTTATGTGTGTATGCATGCATACTTGAATGTATAAGTGTGTGTGAGTGAAGGTGTATGTATGTATGTATGTAGGTTATATATGTATGTGTGTGTAGGGTATGTGTGGATGATGTGTATGTATTGCATGTATGTTTGTGTGTATGGCATATATGATGTGTGTACTTAGTATTATGTGTGTATGTATGATTGTGTGTGTGTGTGTGTGTGTGTGTGTGTGTGTGTGTGTATGTGCAGGTGTGCCTTTGCACACATGTGGGGATCAGAGCACAACCTCAGGTGTGGGTCCTTAATTTCCACCTTGATTATTTTTGAGACAGGGTCTCTTCTTCACAACTGAATCCACCAATAAGCTTCTGAGAATTCTCCTGTCTCCATCTCCCATCTTGCAAAGGAGCTGGCATTATAGATGTGCATTAAGCATCAGTTTTACTGGGCTCTCTGCTTATGTCCACGCTTGTATGCTAAGCACTTTTTTCACTGAGCTGGCTCTACTAACTCCTCCTGCTTTTTAATTACCTCCAAGTGCCTCCCACTGATTCAACCCAAAGAGCATCCTGATAACTTGGGAACTTGAATGTGAGGGCTATGTGCAGGTCACTGGTACAGAGCACGACAGAGACAGAAAAGAGTGGGGACACTGGTCCAGCCAGCATTGTTTGTGAGCTCAATAAACAGAATTCATCTGCCAACAGTAGTAGATGCTATTATGATTAATAAAAAATCATTTAAAGATCTCCTAAATTAATAGCAGAAGCCTTTTGTGATTATGTGTATATTTACAGGTATTACCACTAGGATATTGAATGAGTGTTTTTTAGACTTAACAATGAATTTATAGTAAAAGCAAATGTATATTTTAAGCAATGTAGTGTCTTAACACCCAGTAGGATTCACCCTTTAGGATACAGGTTTGCAATGGCTTGTTGAATGCACATCTCAGTAAATGTTAGAACCAACCTTGTGAATTGTGAATGATTTTACCTGTTAAGCTGATGAGTCAATGAAGGAAAGCAACAGAAACAAAAGAAGGAAAATTATAAATGAGGTGCATGGCTATAAGAATAATTATGATGAGAAACTGAACCAAACACAACCGATGCAGTAGAAATGGTGAGAAGAGATGTGTGGGAGAGAGAGGAGGGAGACCAGTCTTGGGGATCTTTAAAATATGAGGGGGTCTTTAAGGCATGTCGGAAACAAGAAAATCTAGAATGTCTATCACGTTTTTAAACATTAAGGGCTTTAATTATTGTACTGAATGTAGCAGATCACACAAGCAGGATCTGGGGTGTAGGATAGGAGAGAAAGAAAGGTGCCCAAACCTTTCTATTTAGAAGTGTGTGGGGTTGGGCTAGGACATATTTTTAACTGAGTACTTTTCTAGGATGCTGTTCTATGTTGTGTGGGGAGTTACTTTCAGACCCGTAGACACAGCAACAGTTCTACACAGAGTTCCATTTTAAACACCAGGTGGCCCAATAAAAATACCAAAACAACAATGTGGGTCTGCTAGTGCTGGGGAGGTGGGAAGTTGGGTCTGTGGGTCTCATTGGTGACCAGCCTAGTTGGTGAGTTCCAGGTCAATGGGAAGCCCTTTCTCAAAAACCAACATGGATAACACCTGAGAAATTATACCTGAATGAATTCTTACTCAAGGGACAGAGAAGTGACACATCATTTACATACATCTTTACTTTGCTTTCACCCCTGACACACGAGGGGTCAGGCATAAGTGAAAAAGTGGCTATGTGAGAATCCATTCATTCTGACTTATTTTATTCTTGAAAAGTTCAGGCACTCAGCACGGGGGGGGGGGGTCATCTGTCCCCTTTCTATACTGTAGATTGGTATATACTTTTACATTTCAAACAGCAAAGAGGGCAAAACTTTCCTTTGAGTTAATTTGTTGCTGTCATAGCAGTTGCAAAATTGACAAATTTTATTGTATTCATTTTGCATTAAAATGGAATCTATTGGATCTCATTCATTGTGGAATTGGTTCCCTACTATAGAAAAATACATTCTTACCATGACCGTAGTTATTTTAAAGACCTGATTTCATCAATCCATAGGTATGAGTAGACTTATTCGGAGGACTTGCTTTATTGAGCTGTTGTATGGTCTGTAGTGTTATGAATCACAGTACAGCTGTCTAGAGGAGCACAACCTAAGCTCAAGCAATCCCTCTAGGACAGCTGTCTGTTTCACTAGTGGTTTCCTATGTTATTTTTATTGTAGATTCTTGTGCTGTTGAGAGGCCAAGTGAAACTGAAGTGTTGCTGAAGATGGGCCCAGTAGGTGCAGCGGCGGATGAGAACCAGACTGTAGAAGCAAAGGTGGAGCCCTATGGGCCAGGGGACACCACTCCTAAGGGTGGACTGCCCCCTGATCCTGAGCCGGAGCTCATAGATAGCACCAAGCTGGTTGAGGTACAGGTGGTCCTCATATTGGCCTATTGCTCCATCATCTTGCTGGGGGTAGTTGGCAACTCCCTGGTAATCCATGTGATAATCAAATTCAAGAGCATGCGCACAGTAACGAACTTTTTCATTGCCAACCTAGCCGTGGCAGATCTTTTGGTGAATACTCTGTGTCTGCCATTCACTCTTACTTACACCTTAATGGGAGAGTGGAAAATGGGTCCAGTCCTGTGCCATTTGGTGCCCTATGCTCAGGGTCTGGCAGTACAAGTGTCTACAATAACATTGACAGTCATTGCTCTGGACCGCCATCGCTGTATTGTCTACCACCTGGAGAGCAAGATCTCCAAGAAAATCAGCTTTTTGATTATTGGTCTGGCCTGGGGCATCAGTGCCCTGCTAGCAAGTCCCCTGGCTATCTTCCGAGAGTACTCACTGATTGAGATCATTCCTGACTTCGAGATTGTGGCCTGTACTGAGAAGTGGCCTGGTGAGGAGAAGAGTATGTATGGCACAGTCTACAGCCTTTCCACCTTACTAATCTTGTATGTTTTGCCTCTGGGCATCATATCTTTCTCCTATGCCCGTATCTGGAGTAAGCTGAAGAACCATGTCAGCCCAGGAGCTTCAAGTGACCATTACCATCAGCGAAGGCACAAAACAACCAAAATGCTGGTGTGTGTAGTAGTGGTGTTTGCAGTCAGCTGGCTACCCCTCCATGCCTTCCAACTTGCTGTGGACATTGACAGCCATGTCCTGGACTTGAAGGAATATAAACTCATCTTCACAGTGTTACACATTATTGCTATGTGCTCCACCTTTGCCAACCCCCTTCTCTATGGCTGGATGAACAGCAACTACAGAAAGGCTTTCCTCTCTGCCTTCCAGTGTGAGCAGCGGTTGGATGCCATCCACTCGGAGGTTTCTATGACCGTCAAGGCTAAAAAGAACCTCGAAGTAAAAAAGAACAATGGCCCCACTGACTCTTTTTCAGAGGCTACCAATGTCTAAGAAAATAGGGGTGAAAGCACATGGATTGTGACCGGAGCTGCCAATCTGGTTAGGGAAGGGGTTCTGATCAGCTCATGCTGACCTCCCATTGTGTTGACTAAAATGCATGGACAGTCTGGTTCCTGGAAAACTGGCTGGCAGAGCTGAGGTGAAAATGAGCAAATTACTGTGCTACAATGGTTTGGTTTGATTACTGATGCTTAGATGGTAGATTGAATTCTGAGCAAAAGAGGGAAATACTTTTGACTGTTTTCCCAGAATGAAGGAAACCTGATCAAGGAATTGGTACCAGTATAGCTAAAAGATAGAGTTAAGTGTTAACCCTAAAAGCCCAGTAGGATCTGCATTGGCGATGCTGTGGACTCCACTGCTTCCTCATCACTTAATGAAAAGCAGCTGAACAAACTCAGATTCTCCTAGGGAGCCATAGGCTTTCTCTTATGGTATTTTGGTTTTATTGTCCTTCCGAAGATGCAACCCAAATGAGAATGCTATAGGTAAACATTGCTTGTAACTAATGGGATGATTTCAAGAGAATTTCAAGGGAATAAGCAATTTTGCTATAGGATTAATATTTTGGCAATGATGGAGGAAATCCTTATATAGCCATGAACAATGAACTGTTATTAAAATCAAGTGTGCAATTGTTGAACATTTTGAAAATTCAGGATCACTATATGAAATTATTAGACTTAAAAGAAATGTAAACCATTGTTCCATTTCTTGTTTTGAGCCATGCCTGTTTTATGTAGCTACTGTTCAAATAGCAAGTAAGCAACTCACTCCTTTTGCTTATTGTTAATTGTTGAAGTTCTTTGGACCTTTACAACCTGTGTTAGCATTCCTGCATGGGAGCAAAGTTCTCAATAAAAATTAAATAAATATATTAAATTATTTTGTAACAACTTGAATTTAGTTGTAAGAAATTCCTCCCCTCCCCCAGTTGTAAGCAGTTCCCCCCATACACACACATTCATAGCTCTAATATGTTCATAGACATTGAAGAATTATACTCTTTGGAGTTCATCATCAACAGACCAATCTATGTTAAATAAAAATATAACTTTATTAAAATGGACTCATTTGGTAAGAAATCTCAAAAACTGAATTTATTCCACTTTGCAAATGTTTGGTTTTCAACTAATTTTTACATCTGTCTTTAAAATGACTATATTTGGGGGTAACATAAATATGTACACAAAATAAAAGTATATCTACAAAGAGTGGAGCATTAGCAATTTTCATTTAATGCTTTTATAAATTTAGCTTTTATTTCAGTAGTACCAAAGATGATTGAGACGCTATTTTGTTCACACAGAAAAGATAAGAAAATGAAATATTACAATGGTTGCACTTCCCTGGATGCTGAAGTTCCAGTGTAGGTGTATTTTTGTAAATATGAGAGAATTTGTGAGTATATTCTTCACATTTTAGAAATATTCAACATAGTCTTTTACTTAGTTATGATATCAATGTTGTGCATGTATTTAAAATTCAGACTATGTCTGTTGTTAAATTCCTTTCAGGGTGGAAATAAAAGTTTGGTTTGGAAGTGAACTATACTTGTGGAATACTGGAAAGGAGAAAAAAAAAACAAAAGTAGGTGTGAGGCAGACAAAGACTTCAGTGACATACACTGCTATTTGAAGTGTGTCACACAACTATAAAACATGGTTTTACTGTTGGACTATGCACTGCCATCTGAAGATAAGCTTTTTATATTTTATGCAGACATACTTAAGATGTTAAAAGATTGTTGGGAAGTTTTTATGCCTCTTCCAGAATTCATAACCTGTATAAAACCTGCGCGTTACTGTGACTCCTGCTGTGATGGTAAATTGTTGGAATCCACCTAATGATTCAATTAACATGTTTATGATTGAATTCATATATTAAAATCATTAATACAGTATCTGTTATGTAGTGATTTTAATGTTAAAATAAAAAGAATTTGAGAAATTGTGGAAAGTTTTCATGTAGCTTTTGCTGTATCTACTCTTTGGCTGAAATCTAGTGCCTGGCTACCCTGTGAGCTCCCTGTGAGCATGCCTGTGAGTGAGTACACTGTGAGCATGCCTGTGAGGGAGCCCTCTGTGAGTGAGTGTCCTGTGAAAATGCCTGTGAGTGCCCAAGGAAAATGTTCCACTTTTTATTTTCAGCCAGATCTTTCTCTTGAACTTAAAGCCTACATTTCCATCAGTTAATTAAATGTATTAGCATTGGTCCCATCAACAGATACCCAATGTGTCCCCAAAAGAACCTGCCAGTTAAGTACAACCATCCAGATCCCACTACTAGCTTGTCACCCATCTACTGTACTCTATTTCCCAAGACTTTACTCTCTGGAGTCAGTCCCAATACTCCTCTCATCTTTATCTATATGCAGTCAATTCCTGCATTTTACTATGATTCCTAACTGCTTCTTGAATCAATTCACTTTTCTCAGTTCCCATCAAATATGCTATTACTGTATCTAAGACCTGTATTATCTCTTATCTAGGTTAATACAGTATATTCCTATTTGTGCTTTCTGTCTTGTGTCTTGTCATTTTCACATAAAATCCATTATCTATCTACTAGCCAAGGCAGTTTTTTCTCAACTTTTTAAAATTTGAATTACAAACAGGATTGTTTTACATGATAATCCCAGTTCCCTTCTCCCTCCCATCCTCCCCTACCACCACCACCCCCAACTAAAACCCTACCTATCTCATATCTTTTCTGCTCCCCAGGGAGGGTGAGGCCTTCCACAGGTCATCAGAATCTATTGTATCCTTTGGGATAGGCCCTAGGCCCACCCCTGTGTATCTTGGCTCAGGGAGTATTCCTCTATGTGGAATGGGCTCCCAAAGTCCACACCTATGCTAGGGATAAGTACTGAACTACAGGAAATCCCATAGATTTCTGAGGTTTCCTCACTTAAACCCATGTTCCTGGGGGTCTGGATCAGTCCCATGCTGGTATTCCAGCTATCAGTCTGGGGAGCAAGAGTTCCCCGATGTTCAGGTCAGCTGTTTCTGTGGGTTTCACCAGCCTGGTCTGGACCCCTTTGCTCTTCACTCATCCTTCAAGGCAGACTTTTTTTTTTTATAAACTCAGGTTTTATTAAGTAATTCTTCTGTTTAAAAGTCTTCACTTGTATGCATCCTCATAAATCTTATTTTAGGATGTTTATATCTTATTGAAAATAATTTTAATGACTCAAAAGACTGTTTAATATCTGTATTAAGATTCTCTATAGGAACAGAACCAATAGAATCTGTATATAATTGTAATAGGGGATTTATTAAATTGCTTCAAATGATCAGAGGCTAGAAAATCTTGTGATGGTCATTTGCAGAGTGGAGTTCAAGAGAAGCCAGTAGCTGCTCAGGGCAAGAACCTGAAATCTCTGAGATGGGGGGGGGCAGGGATTGATTGATGATGCAGCCCCAGTGTGAGGCTGGAGGCATGCAAGCTCTGTGGAGAGTCACTGAAATGACACCACAGGGAAGAGCTGAGGAAGCTGGAGGCTGAAGTCCCTAGGTGATGACAGCAGCTGTGGATGGACTCACTGAGGAAGAATGGCTATTGTATATGCTGGCTGGCTTTCCCTTCTTCTATTTTTATTTTATCTGAACCTTGGTCCTGCTCACATTCAAGGTAAGTTAGTTAATCCTCTCTGCACATGCCCTCACAGACACCCTGAGAAGTGCTTTACTGATCTCCCAGGCACCTCTCAATCGCATCAAATAGTCAATCAAGATTAACTTTTGCAGCATCTGGCTGTTTCTTTGTTTTACCTCATGCAAATTCTCCTTTCATCCAGCTGCTAGACTTTAAGGACCTGAAGACAGAACAGTGATGTCTTAATCATGTGGAATTACAGTACTTGTGGTTGCTGTCATCAAATTGGTATTCAATAAATATTAATCAGATTCATCAAGGATAATGGAGTGCTTTGTTATTTGAGGCAAGATCCCTTCCCAGTACCCAGGCTGGCCTTGAATTTACTAAGGAGCTGAAGATGACCTTGAACTCCTGACCCTCTTGCTTTCACCTCGTAAGTGCTGGGTTACACATGTGTCCCACTGAGTCCTGCCTGAAACTCATTTTTTGGAGTAAATATTAAAACCAATATTTAAAACTAGATCCATGAAGTAATAAGCCTTAACTTATCCTGTTTGGTTATAGTCTGTCTAGGCAAGCAGGATTTCCTACCCAGGAGTCTAAGAAAGATATTTCCTAGTACACAGGTCAGCATCAGGGTTTGTTGTTTGTTTGTACTGTCTTATTTAATTGATAAATTAATGTTTTAACTAAGTCAAGTGCATTTCTCATGATAAGCAATTGCTATTCTTTTTCAAGTCACTATTTACCAATATCACCATATTTTTGAAAAGATTGTGTTGCATATATTTTGCTTATAGCTCAGGCAAACAAACCTGTTTGAAACTTCATTATCAAGGAAAATTGGAAGATGCAATAAAATATGGCAGTCACGATTCAGCAACCTAGAGAAGTCATTGTAAGAACTGTAAATACAGAAAATAAAGGCCAGGAGAACCACTTGAAATTCCGGAGAAGGAGCCCAAAAAGTCTCTGCTAGCATTAAGCAAATTAGGAATGGATCGTAATGTATTCATGCTATAGTAGCTACTCCATGGCCTGTTCTGTGAGTATAAGTCATGCGACATGTGCAATAGGACAAGAGGCATACAGGTACTATCTGCTATGCTAGAGATGATTTAACAGAGAAATGAAAACAGTGAAAGATAAAATTGCCATCTCTTACAGTCATATAAACTGGTTCATGAGCTATTAGAGATACTTGGCTATCACTTAAAGAGAGCCCCATTAATACTAGAGACCAGCAGATAGCAGAGGAAGGACATGTATCCCTGAGGAAGTTGAACATATAAGAAGCAATGGCTGATGGCCAGCTCACTGGATCTGACAGGGCTGTGTACACAGGGGAACTAAGAAAGAAATTAATTCAGATCCATCAGTTAAATGACCTCTGCACTGATGTGGGATTTTTGTGGCTTTTCTGAGCCCTGTGATAGGATGTTCATGAACCGGAAGGGGATGAAAAGAAGACAAAGCAGAAAAAGAGATCTAAGTCCCTGGAAGGAAAATGTGACACGATGTGTGTCGATCTGGACTTAGTAAGTGGGGTGAGAGATGTGGGGACAGAAAGCTAAATGTTGCACTACTGAAGTTTCAAGACACTTTAAGTTCAAACAATTCACAAGAATCCAAATAAAATCAATAAACTTTACTCTAGGGCTAGGTGGTTATTCTCTAAAGTATTCATGCATGCACATCTTTATCCTGCCAGAAGGTATACTGTAGATGGAGATATCTGCCTCCATGGCTCTGGTATTAAAGGCATAGGCTTCCACATTCAGCTTTTTTTTTTTTACATGGGTTTAGGGGAATTGAATTTTGGTCCTCATGCTTGTCCTTTGCTGACTGAATTGTCTCTCCATCTACAAATATTGCTTTTTATCTTAATCGATTATATTTTGTGTGCGTGAGTGTTTGCAGGAGTGTTTGAGGGTTCCAGGCATTAATGTACATTTATCATGTACATGTCTGGTGCTAATGAAGGCCAAAAGAAGGTACCAGGTCACCTGGAACTGGACTGAACCAAGCCCTCTGAATATGGGTGCCAGCTAGGAGGCCAAGACAGTCTATGGGATCTCTAACAGTAGAGCCAGTCTTTAACCCTAGAGCACAAATGGACTTTGGGATCCCATTCCCTATGGAGGGATACTATTGCAGCCCAGATTCAGCAAGGAGGGCCTAAGCCCTCCCCCAAGTGATATGACAGACTTTGAAGGTCCCCCGTGAGGGCCTCACTATCCCTGGGGAGGGGTTGGGGGTGGAGAACATGGGATGAAGTCGAGGGATTGGGGGATGGATATGTAAATATGAGTAGTAATTAAATAATTAAAAAAAGAATATGCCTACAGACTGTCCTACAGACAATCTGATGATAGAGACATTTTCTTAATTGAGGTTCCTCTTCACAGATAACTCCAGCTTGGGTTAAATTGAAAAACAATCAGTACAATAAGCAATAACAGTTGCTGAAGAAAGAAGACCATTCCACTGGCTGAGCTTCCAAAAGCTCTGGCATGCAGTTTTCAGAGCAGTCACCCATGCTGGTACAAGGTTTTTAGTGATACAAGTGCCTTTATGTTATCCATGCTACATATGTATCTCTCTCCATTCACAATCTCTTGAGTAGCCCCAATAAAGTAGCTGGTTCCCTACCTAGAATTAGGTAGAATTGTTCCTTTGGTTTGTTGTTAGTGCTCTATATGAGTTGTATAGCTGTATTTCTACATCTCCTCAGAAAAAAGTCACTCAGTATACACAAAGGTAGGAATTTTAAGCAAAGGGTGGATAAAGATTGATTTAAGGGAATTATAAGTATAAATTGTAGGACTAGCTAGACTCCATAAGTCCTCAGGGACTCAGAGGAGCTCATAGTTTTAGAAGTCAGAAGATTAAGACAGTTGATACTGTTATTTGAAATTTCCAACATTTTCTTGTCAGTATCAGACTGTGTAACTGAACAGAAGTGGAAAAGAACCAGTCTAGAATCTACTCCTTTGTAATTAAAACATTTGCAAATTTTAGCACTTCATCAAATCCTTTGCTAAGCAACACATAGCTTCTCATGATAAAAGAGTGTGCTATGTCATTAAAATAAAATAGTACTGTGTTATTTTCATAAAACTACATAAAACAATGTACTACTAATCTTGACTTCTCACAGAAAGTAATATGAATGATTTAAAAACACAAAATTTGATACATACATATGTACATATATTCCATAGCATGATCTGTCACCCAATACCACAAAGTCTCTGCACATGGAGCACTAAAGATAGGAATAAGTTCTTTGAAAATGGCATGCCCACCTCCATCATTGCCCTACAGAGGCAACTGCTCCTAGGCTGTGCGTGGGGTGGAATGTGGACAGAAGAGACAGTACCTTGGAATATGAACAAAATAACTTAAACATGCACAGTTTAAAAATGTTTCTTGGTGAATGTAGCCTATTTAATCCAGCTGATTGGTAAATAAAGGTGACAGCTAGTTATAAAGCTCCTAGATAGAAATAATTCATATTTATTAGGCTAGAATAAACTGACTTCACTTTGAGGCCATGTCTGATCTTGGAGGAGCACTTACAATTCAATCATTTCTATTCTATCTAAGGAAGTCATTCTCCTGTTTCTAATGTAGTCAAGAAGTGGAAACAAAAGACTGTTGAATGCATAGTGCATATTTAAATGCAATCAGATCATCCGTCAAAACAATGTGCAATGAAGTTTGGATGCTAAGGGACATGACCACATGCAGAGCTGTAACAGCAAGATGTAGGTGAGCTGCTTGACACTCAAGGGTTGTTTCTGCCATTTGTTCCAGAAAACAAAATATATTAGAAATTAAAAACTTTTGCCCTGAAAAGATAACCCTGTTTAAACAATCTCCTCAATATTTTCTGTCAAAGGCACAGAAAGTCTCACAAATGTACAGATGATGGTGTACGTATTTGTTTATAACCTCAGATCTTCCACAAGTCTCCAACAAATCTGATTTGTCACTAAGATAATAACTCTATATTTACTTTTCAGTGTTTTGCTTTGCAGTTCAGAATTAGATGTAGGAATATTCATGAAGATCCTAATGAGGATCAGTATAATTGTTACTATACTGAAAATCTAGGTAAATAATTACTACCCTAAATGTATTTGTCACACATACATTTTTCTTAAAAGATGTATCTCTGGGAGTCATTTTGTCAGAGTGTATCTTTAGGAAACAAGAATCATGCCTTAGTTAGTTTTCTATTGCTATGACAAAATATCATGACTAAAGGATACTTCAGGAGAAAAGTGTTTATTTCATTTTACAGCTTGTAGTTCATTGCCCAGGGAAGTCAGGACAGGAACACAAGGTAGGGCCCTGGAGGCAGGACTTGAGGCCGAAGCTATGGCAGATTGCTTCTTACTTACTGAGCGTGCTACTCATGGCTTGCTCTGCTTATTTTCCTATGCCAATGGGACCCACCTGCCCAGGTGTGGCATTGTCCCCTGTGGGATGAGTCCTCCCATGTCAATCATTAATTAAGACAATGCCCCCACAGACTTGCTCACAGACCAATCTTGTAGAGGCATTTTCTCAATTAAGAGTCCCTTTCTTCCCAGATATGTCTAGGGAAGTTGATAAAAACCAACCTACAAAGTGAGTACATGATAGAAAACATTTCTATACAAAACTTATGCCTATTATTTAAGCAATTTTACTAATCATAGTAATTGTTTGTAGTTGTGTTGTTACCATCTTCAGTTATTGCATGTGTTCCCACCAAGCTTCAGATGTTGAAATTTAATGGCCAATGTGGCAATATGCAAAGGTGACTGGGTATTGAGGGTTTCTGCTATTATGAAAGGGGCTTCAAGAGGACACAGTGTTCTTCCTTGCTGTGAAAATGTAGCATTAAGTTGCCATTTTATATTCAAAGGTCAGCCCTCTCTGGACCAAGGCCTGTTGGTGTTGATTTCCGCTGTTTTAATCTGCAGAATTGTGACAAATGCAGTTTTTAAATAAATTTCAAAGATTTAAGTAGGAACAGTGATGCACATCTGTAATTTCAATATTCAGGAGACAGGAATTATTTCAAGTTTGAGGTCAGCTTGGCCTACAGAGTAGAAGTCTATGTCAAAAAATCAAAACAATAGTAAAAACTAGTCTGGTATTTTAATAGTTGGCATCAATGAATTAGCATTATCATTGAATATATTTTGTCTGTAAGTCTATTTTGTTCTGTGGTTTATGGTTTGGAGAGGATCTCATTTAGACTACTTGGAATTTTCTATCCAGCCAAGGGTTACCTTAACTCTGGGTCCTCCTGCCTCAACCTCCCGAGTGTTCTTGGACACCATCATGCACAGAAACAAAGTTATGCTAATCTCATTACAAGCTCGTGGTTTCTTTTAATTTTTTAAATTCTTTAATTGCTACTCATATTTACATATCCCCCCCCATTTCCTCACCCTCTCATCCTCCCATCTTCCCCACCAAACCCCCAACCCATCCCCCAACTCCTCCCCAAGGATAGTGATGCCCTCCACGGGGGATCTTCAAAGTCCCTCATATCATTTGGGGGAGGCCCTAGTCCCTCCTTGCTGTATCTGGGCTGCAATAGTGTCCTTCCATAGGGAATGGAATCTCAAAGTCTATTGTGCTCTCCTTTCTTGCCCTCCTCTTTTCCTCCCCTGTCTCAGTCCTCTTGTTCTGCTCCCCTTCCTCTTTTTCCCCTCCCACATCCTTCCTCTACCCCCCAGTGCTCCCTCTTTGCTCAGGGGTTCTTGTCCCCCTCCCCTTTTTCAAGGCACCATGCAATCTTCTCTTGGGGTCCTCCTTATTTCCTAGCTCCTCTGGCAGTGTGGATTGTAGACTGGTAATCCTTTGCTCTATGTCTAAAAATCATGTATGAGTACATACCATGTTTGTCTTTTTTGTGACTGGGTTACCTCACTCAGGATGGTTTCTTCTAGTTCCATCCATTCCCTACAAATTTCAAGATTCCATTTTTTTTTCTGCTGAGTAGTACTCCATTGTGTGAATGTACCACATTTTCTATATCCATTCTTTAGTTGAGGGGCATCTAGTTTGCTTCCAGGTTCTGGCTATTACAACTAATGCTCTATGAACATAGTTGAACATATGTCCTTATTGTATGAATGTGCATTCTTTGGGTATATATCCAAGTGAGGAATTGCTGGATCTTGAGGTAGACTGATTCCCATTTTCCTGAGAAACTGCCATACTGATTTCCCAAGTAGTTGTACAAGTTTGCACTCCCACCAGCAATGGAGGAAGTGTTCCTCTTTCTCCACATCCTCTCCAGCAGAGACTGTCATTGGTGTTATTGATTTTAGTCATTCTGACAGGAGTAAGATGGTATCCCAGAATTGTTTTGATTTGCATTTCCCTGATGGCTAAGGATGTTGAATACTTTCTTAAGTGTTTTTCAGCCATTTTAGACTCCTCTGTTGAGAATTCTCTATTTAGTTCTGCACTCCACTTTTTAATTGCATTGTTCAGTGTTTTGATGTCTAGCTTTTTGAGTTCTTTGTATATTTTGGTAATCTGCCCTCTGTCAGATGTGGGGTTGGTGGATATCTTTTCCCATTCTGTGGGCTGGCATTTTGTCTTGCTGTGTCCTTTGCCTTACAGAAGCTTCTCAGTTTCAGGAGGTCTCATTTATTAATTGTCGATCTCAATGTTTATGTTACTTGTGTTATGTTCAGGAAATAGTCTCCTGTACCAATTCGTTGGAGGGTACCACCTACCTTCTCTTCTAGGAAGTTTAGTTTGGCTGAATTTATGTTGAGGTCTTTGATCAATTTGGACTTAAGTTTTGTGCATGGTGATAGATATGGATCCATCTGCAATCTTCTACATGTCTGAATCCAGTTATGCCAGCACCATTTGTGGAAGATGCTTTCTTTTTTCCATTGTATAATTTTAGCTTCTTTGTCAAAAATCAAGTGTCTGTAGGTGTGTTGGTTAATATAAGGGTTTTCAATTTGATTGCATTGGTCTACCTGTCTATTTTTGTGCCAATACCAAGCTGTTTTCAGGACTATGGCTCTATAACAGAGCTTGAAGTCAGGGATGGTGATGCCTCCAGAAGTTCCTTTATTGTACAGGATTGTTTTGGCTCTCCTGGGTATTTGTTTTTCCATATGAAGTGATTACTGTTCTTTCAAGGTCTGAAGACAGGGTTTCTCAGTGTAGCTTTGGAGCCTGTCCTGGAATTAGTTCTTGTAGACCAGACTGGTCTTGAACTTACAGAGATCTACCTTCCTCTGCTTCCCAAGTGCTGGAATTAAAGGCATGCACCACCACCACCTGGCTGAAACCTCATGGCTTTAAACAAATAAACATTCCTACTTGTGGAGACCTAGAAAATGAATATGCACCTGGTAAAGCCTAAAACTGAAGTTACATGCTCAGACAGGCAATTCCAAGGCAGCAGTCTCAAAGAGGACATAGAAGATAAGGGTCAGAACCTGGGTATATACTGGTTCATACCAGAAAGAGGTAAAGGAAAAGGGAAGGATTTGGGTAAGGACCACTTGAGCATAGGTGTCTAAAGACTGACACAGCTTTCTTGACTCAGGTGGAGATCTCTCCATGCAGGGTCAGTGACAAACAATGCTCATACTTTGTAGTTAATACCACCCAGAAAGCTCTCAAAACTCTCCACACTAGAACATTTTAATGTCATTATTGTTATTTGTAACTAGAATATCATTATTTTATAATTATTTGCATAATGAATCTATTGATCTCACATGACTAATTTCTTTGCTAGTTGGCTCAGAACACCATCCCTGTATCCCCAGAGCTAAATGGGAAGCTGACTTGCATGGCCTTCCGTGTTCCTGTCCCCAATGTGCCCGTAGTGTATCTGACATATCGCCTGGAGAAAGCTGCCAAGTATGAAGACATCAAGAAAGTGGTGAAGCAGGCATCCCAGGGCCCACTGAAGGGCATCCTGGGCTACACCGAGGACCAGGTTGTCTCCTGCAACTTCAACAGTGACTCCCACTCTTCCACCTTTGATGCTGGGGCTGGCATTGCTCTCAATGACAACTTTGTAAAGCTCATTTCTTGGTATGACAATGAATTCAGCTACAGCAACAGGGTGGTAGACCTCATGGCCTATATGGCCTCCAAGGAGTAAGAAGCCTACCCTGGATCATCCACCCCCAGCAAGGACTCGAGCAAGAGAGAGGCCCTGGCTGCTGAGCAGTCCCTGTCCAACAACCTCCACACTCATCCTCTCCCTCACAGTTTCCATCCCAGACCCCCAGAATAAGGAGGGGCTTAGGGAGGCCTACTCTCTTGAATACCACCAAAAAAGTTCACTGTACCCATCAAAAAAAAAAGAATACTTATTTTATGGAAGACATGGAAAGGAATGAATGCATGAAAGATAAATGACATTTCAACAAGATTAGCTAAGCCAAATGAGTGCATAATCACTAGAAGGTTCTCTCAGATTTTGCAGCATGGCTGAAAGTGCAGTCACCCCAAATTCAGAATCAAATTTGATCCCCTTATCTTTCTGTTAAAAGGAAACTTACAAAGAAATACACACAGGTTCATATGGAATGATAGACTTGTTTTATTTCACTGGCGTTCTTTAAATTTGGAGATTCATCCATATTGCTGAGTCTAGTATAAATGTTTCTTTTATTATTTTAATTGCTGGGTCCTATTCAATGTATTAGAATACCATATTTATGTCATTTTGCTCTTGGTAGACATACATTGCTACAAGTTTGGGGTTGTTATTGTTACCATCTAGGATTTAGGTTAATTCTTCTGTCTATGAAAAAAATTAAAGACAGAGAGGAATTCAGGCCAAAGCAAAAGTAAGATTGGCAAGCAGTAAAACTCCTTGGAGGAGAAGGGACCTCAACTCTTGGAGTCCACTGTCTCCCAGACTACCAGGAGCCTTAATCTCTGGCAAGCTTCCCATTTCTGCTTCCCTATGGATTGGGGAACCAGTTCCTATGAGCAGTCCTGCTCCTCAAGATTGGTTCCATACCCCTCCCAGGTATAGAAGATGTCCTGGTGTTTGGATGCCTCATGCCTTGAGCTCTGCCTGTGGACATGAGTCTGGAAGTCCCTGGGAGACTATATTCTTCTCTACGTACGTACAGGCTTGAAGACAACTGACCCAAAAGTTTCAAGTTAGGGAAAGAAGCAGGAAGTAAGAACAAAAGAAGGCATCCAGCCATTTTCATTCCAGTAGCATTAAGATGAAATTGGTTATAAACATTTCTCCAGTATTCTCTGGACATATATCTTCATGACCATCAGAGAATACCTAGCAATTAAATTTCTAAGTTATCAAATAAGCATGGGGCATAAAGAGGTATAACATTTCCCAAATTATTACTGTCCCACCTGATATATGTGAGATCCAGCTAGCTCCTGCCTTTGCTCATTAAAGGTTGTCAGTGGGTTTGGATTTAATGTTGTCAAGGAATTCTCCTCTTGCTTCTGATTTGCATTTCCCCAGTAACAAACAATCACTTCTGAAGTGCTTTTCCATAATTCATGTATTTTCCACAAATGGCTATTTTCTTGCACTGCCTAGTTTTAAATTGTTTTTGTATTGTCTGTTATATTTCTTAAGAGTTGTGGTAGGTCTTTTTTTAAATTGTTTTTGTATTGTCTGTTATATTTCTTAAGAGTTGTGGTAGGGCTGAAAAAATTCTGGATATATATGCATGTAAACACATGTATGTTAATATAGATGTGTGTGTAATGCATAACATGATAGCATATTATGTTACTCAGGTGGTAATGAAGTATTTTTTCTATTTCATTTTGTTGAAGTCTGCTTTATTATTTTTATTTTGATATTACTTCAAAATTATGTTATTTCTAGGAAATCATTGTCCACTTCAAGGCAGGAAACATTGCTTTTCTCACAAGTTCATAGTTCAAACTTTTACATGTGTGTCTCTGATTCATCTCTGTATTTACTTTCCATATTTGAATGAAATTCTCCTGTCATCAATAACAAGTTTCCTGGCATCGTTGTTAGAAATCAACTGACTATTATTATTGAGAAATTTTCTAGGCTATTTTATTGATCTTTCATGATTCCAAGTTGGATATTCTTAGATCTTTGTATCATCACATAGTTTTTAGTACTGGCTTGAGCATTTTTTATGGGAAAACACATCGGTGTGATGATTGAGACTACATTTACCTATTGGTAAATTATGGATTATGGATGTCCTAGCAATATTCATTATTTCTTTGGTATTTACCTTCTTTTTAAAAGGATTATTAAATATTAGTTGTACAAAATAGTGGGTTTTACTATGGCATTTTCATAAATTCATAAAATTTATTCTAATGTATTTATTCAACATTAATCTCCTTCACTCCTTTTCTGTGAGTCTTTCAAAAGTTTCCCTGTATTTTCATGTCTTAAAAAAATCTAGATTCTTCAGATGAGAGAGAACTTATGTTTCTTGTCTTTAAAAGTATGGCTCATTGTGCTTCACACAACTATCTACAGTTTCCTTCATTCTCTTGCAAACAATGTGATTTGGTTTTGTCACTGTCTGTATTCATCATTTGCTAGAACTTAAACTAGAAGGGATCTGATAACATGCTCAAAGTTGGAAATAGACAATACATGGCAAAGGTGATTAAGATCATGTCTCACATAATATTTTAAGTATCTTTTTCAAACAATTTTACTAGAGATCTTCAGCAACTTAGCAATTGTGGCAGGGAACATATATTTATGTTCATGTGCAAATAAAGAGCCTAGATACTCTATGAATCTTAACTGACTCTTTTGGGGATGTAGTAGTAAACATGAAACTTGATTTTCCTATTGGATTTCCATTACTATGTTCTTTTTATCATTGTGATTGTTTTTATGCTAAGGAAAAAATCTAAGATAAATATAGGTTCTCTTATTTGACTAAATAAGGGTAAAAACAATCTCTCATTGTGACTTATGTAAACCTTTTGAGACACCAAATTATCTATTAATTTTTGAACTCACCTTTTTCAATTAAATAGCTTAGTAGAGTATTACAACATAGATATGCTTTTTTCCTCAAGAAGTTCTTTGGTTCTCACTATGAAGTAAAATGCTGAATCTATTCTGTTTCTTTCTGCCACTACAAGTTAGCCCTCAGATAGTTGCTACATTTTTATATTATTACAAAGTGAATGTAGAAAGAGATTTCTCTAAATTAAAAGCTGCTTAACAGTGTCTGAAACACATGAGTGACCCTGCCCTGTTACCAAGCAACTTCATTTCTAGATACGTGACCAAGGAAATGCATGTTTATATTTTGTGAAAGTATGGGGGGAAGGGGAGGTTATTCATTATTCCATAATACAACAGCAGGTGAAAATTGGGATCAAATTTTGGTAGGCATTTGTAGTCTACTAGATACATTGTTACATGTTTACAGAATTTAGTGATCTGGAGCGACTGGCTAGGATAAACAACTGCTTATATGAAGCAGTAGAAATTAATCTTACAAAGGTCTTGATGAGCATAAGAAACCAAGAGTAGATTTACATTCTCTGCAAGTGAGTTTGTGTTTTGAGTCAGGAGTTTGTAGTTGCCCAGGCTGATCTCTAACTCCTGGCCTCAATGGTCCTCCTTTCTCAGCCTTCAGGCCACAAGAAGGATGGACTGTTGGTGCCCATCCCTGCGCCAGACTTCTAAATAAATTGTAAAAATGAACACACATTGCTGGAAGACAGGATATGTTAACCGTCTTTATCAGAAGGTAGTTTCCCACGTACCACAGGTAGGTTTCCAGAATACTTTCAATGACTTTATTTCTGATTTGGGTGTATTTATATTGTTAATGTTTTTGTGCATTTACCAAAACCTACCTCTCTGAATCTATTCTATGAAAAAATACCTAACAGCATAAAATATATATAAAGGAAAATGTTTGATGTAGTCAAAGACTACAAACAACATTAATATCATTATCAGAAAAAAGATTCAGCTGGGCAGTGGTGACACATACCTTCAATCCCAGCACTCATGATGCAGAGGCAGGTAGATCTCCATGAGTTCAAAGCCAACTTGTTCTACACAGTGAGTTCTAGGAAAGCCAGGGATGTTACACGGAGAAACCCTGTCTCAGAAACAGAAACAAACTAACAATATGATTGGAATTCTTATAGTACAGTCAGGCAATGGTATATTATATAGCTGTTTATTTCTATGAACTAACATGTTTTCCATAATATGTTATACAAAAATATACATTGACATGTGTAAGTATTTATGTCCATATGCAATCAATATTTGTTTTGGTATGTAATCATTTGACCCTGAAGACTTTGTTTTTAATATATAAAGGCAAAATAATGAACATATTTTTGGTTTTGATATGAATTGCAAATTTAAAAATTATCTGGACTGTTAAGGTGTGGAATATGGTTTTTGAGTCAGGGTTTCACTTTGTAGCTCTGGTTGTCCTGGAATTCATTATGTAGACTAGGCTGGCCTTGAACTCAGAGAGATTCACTTGCCTCTGCCTCCCAAGTACTGGGATGAAAGCATGTGACTTTATGTATATATTTTGAACATAAAATGTCCATTTTAGGGGAAAGTTTCCAGTCACAAAATTGTATTGTTCTATGATCCTGCCCACTTATAACTTTAGATGTGTATGTACCTAAATAATTTACTTCAAGACATTAAAGATAGCTCTCTGTAGTTATGAGATAATTCATTTAGCCCCTTACCTAAAGGGCATTTTTTGACACCTGATATAGTAACTGCTAAAAATTTTAAATACATATGTAGAAAATAGAAGGGAGACAACAATTAAAATTAATAAGAGTTAAACTCAATACACAAGGAAATTAAATCTGCATTAGTAAAATATTCATTTTCTGGAATACATAGACTGAAGTATCTACATTCTCATTTAATGACAGAGAGAAGAGTCAATGGATTTCTGAAATGAATGCCAGTCCCAAGGGCCATCAATAGCAGCCTCTGATTTAACTAACACATCTTTGATGCTTAGATCAGTTCTGGATTCCCACTACAACACATGCAGTTAATGGCTGCATGAACCTGCAACCCTGCAGTACTTGGAAGGCTAAGCCAAGAGGATTTTGACTTTGAGCAAGACTAGGCTACATGATGAGATGCTACAAGAG